TAGATAGATAGATAGATAGATAGATAGATAGATAGATAGATAGATAGATAGATAGATAGATAGATAGATAGATAGATAGATAGATAGATAGATAGATAACCGACTAGCTCTTGATTTTCGATGCGCTGCGGGCTGTCGCCTCGGTGATCGCGCCGTCCACTGCACTCTGCCACTGCAGCGACACAAACAAGAGCACGCCGCGCAGCGTTTGCAGTCGTGACACGACGTCGTCACTCATCTCGTTGGCTTGCAGCGCACTGACGAGGTCTTCGTACGCTGCTGCCCAGGGTTGCACGTACGTAGCCAAATACGGAGCGCTCAACGCGACACCAAGATCGTCGCCCAGCCACGCGCTTGCAAGGCGGCGCAAGTGCAGCAAGGCGTCGCTCGTGCGGTAAATTGCCAAAGCGACCAGCGCCTCGAGCCGGCGCTCCTACGACACACTCGGCATCCTTCCGCCAAGGCGCGTCCTACCGCGGCTACGAACGTCGCCACCGACGAGCAAAGACATCGGCGGATGCAATCGGCCACAGTCGGCGCCTTGGCGCTAGCCGTGTACATGGCTGTCCAAGCCTCGAGGCGACTCGGGGCTCTCAACGGCTCGGACTCGCGAGGCGTCGAATTGAGCACCCGTTGGGCGTCCGCCTGCACGGTGTGTGAGGTCTTAAGCCAACACCGATAGGGAGGTGATACCAAGGTGGTAAAGACCTGCGATAACGCGAGTGGCTGTGTCGTGTACGCCTGCAGCGGTGTCGCCGCTTTGGCCACGTGCAGAAGGTACGACTTGCGGACAACGCGCGCGTCCACAAGGAGCGAGAGCTCGATTGGATGGAGCGCCCGCACTGCCTTTTCGACCCAGTGCCGCGTGAGATCGCGCTGACTCTGGACGGCTTTGGGGCCGAGGATCTTGCTGTCGCCGATGGCCAAGGCGACGACAAGCACGTCTACGTCCGTAGTCATAGACAGATTGTCCTATGTTGGTTTAGGTAACTACCCGACCGCGCCACGAGACGAAGGACGTCTTGCAGCACTGCATCGCTGAAGAGCTCGATGGCTTTGGTCGACGCATTGTTGCTCTGAACACTCTCGATCACAATGTGCTCAATGAACGACACCACGCATCCGTGCGACCACTACGCTTCAAAGTAAACGTCAAGTTGAAAGATTGATACATACCAGCCACGTCGCGTCGGCTTGCAGCGCAGCCGTCGACTACAGAGTTCTTAGTATCCGACACAAAGCCGCCACGTACAGTGAGAGAGAATAGTGTCGAAGGAACCGTGTACTCTATGCCAAGAAATGTCGGCGCCGTCGTGAGCCAGGCCCACGTCGCGGCGACAAGTGCCGGCGCGAGGGCAAGCGCAACACCGGTGCCCGCCATGGGTGCCGGGTCGTCGATAAACTGGACGGTCATCGGGTCGTCTGTCGCCAGCTGTGGCGCAATACGAAACAATGGCATTGCCGCCGGCAACTCCGGTCCCTATCGACGATACCAAGCATAACGTCAGTACTATCAAGAAGAGGCAAAGTACTTTGGCTTGAAACAAAACAAAGTAGGCGCCTTTAGGACATAGACGCTGGACGAGCGTGGGGTAGATGCTCCTTGGCGCCAATGTTTGCTCGTACATGATGGACACGAGTGTCGTTTCAAGCGCGGCGTCCAATCGCGTGTCGACCTACACAATAGTATCAGTTTTCTATCGACTTGATACTATCGAATGGCGCACCACGTATTGCAGCTGTGTGACGTGCGTCGCGATTGCCCGCGGGTAGCGTCCTTGCGAGAGCGCAGTCTCAGTCTCGGTAACAACATCGACGCACAGCGCGTCGACGGGCGACCCGAACGATGGCACCACAATTGGGCTAGGGGCAGGCCTGATCGCTGCCTTCTTCTTCTTCCCAAAGAACGATGTCGGTGCCGCCTTCTCCGCGGCCGCAGGCAATGACGATAGGCTCAATGTACGCAGCGTGTCAACAAGTTGCAGCGCGTCGACCCCGCGTTCGGACAGCATAATGTCTCTACGATCCATGTCCTCACCTTTCGTGCTGCCACGTCATCGTACCGCGCCAGACTCGACGCAACGCCGTCGACGAGTCCGAGGAGGCTGTACAAGCTGCTGTGCCAGTGCGGATAGGCGCTCGAGTACGCTGCGTCTCGGACTTCGGGAAGATCAACGAGCGTCGGGAGCACGTGCTCTGTCAAATACGCTTGGAGCGGCGGCAAGAAGGAGCTCTCTCGGCTCGTCGCGAGAGCTTTTACCTAGAACCAAGTTTTAACACTTTTGTTGCAGAAAGGTAGTCCAGACGCTAGCTGCAATGTCGTGTAGCATAGGAGCAAGATGCTGCACGGCTTTTGTCAGCGTGAGAACCTACATACATTCATAATCCCATGCTAGTAGGAGTAGGGTCCACCCAACCTCCAAGAGGCGTCGCACCGACTCGACGATGTGACAGAGCTGTGTCAGTAGCGGTTGACATGTGACAGCGAGAATGCTCTCGAGGACGTGGGGGGCTGGCGCCTCTGGCGTCCACAGCACATGCAGCAGGAGCTCTTGCAAGCACGCAAGCACATTGTGCTTTGTATGTGCTAGAAGGATGCGATCTCGTCGAATTGGCTCGGGGCGCTCGGGGTACACATTGCAGAGCCGCGCCACGTACACGCGCAGCGCGTCCGGATGGAAGAAGACGCCTTGTCCCACGTTACGATACTTGGCAACTGTCATATTGTGCACCTTGGTCAAGTGCGATGCTTGCATCTTGACAAAACGAGCGGACGGTGGTCGTCGCATCATGATGCAATATGTAGTCTTTGGTGATTCGCCGGTACCCGCGTTCCTACGTACGTTTGCTCGGCGTCTTTTGTGTTGCAGCGTTGTACGTTGGGTAGCTCGTAAAAGCAAATGTAGATGCGCGCTCGCGCGATGAGAGCCGCTTTGACTGCGCTTGAGAAGGCGCTGCGCGAGGCGCTGACCATCTCACTGGTCCAAACCTTCTCGGTCGCCCTGTCCGACGACTTGTACGCCGGAATCGTGACGACAAGGCCACGCGTGAGAGCCTAATGCGTGATGGAAGCGAGAATGTGACGGTGCAGCGTCATCGTAGTACGTTGTCAGCGGTGGTCATGGCCACGTCCTTGGCGAGACACGCCACGAAGATGGCGATGGCCTTCTCGAGCTTTTCGCCTTGGATGACGACGTGCTAGATGAGTACATTGTATAGATATGTTGTGTCGTTCGATGCAATGGAGCACCTGCTGCAGCTCGAGCGATGTGGGCACGGGCTGCAGCGGACCCGAAAAGACGGTACGGCCCACGAGCACGACGAAGAGCGTCGTTGTGTAGGCGTCGTCGGTCGTCGTCTTGTACAGTGTGACAAGGCGCGACGCGTCGAGCGCAGCATAAATGCGTCCGAGCGCGTCGACATTGAGGCGCTAGCAAGGACCATAGCGCGACCCCAATGTCGAGGAAGACGTACCGCGGCCACGTGCGCGCGAGCGATAAACTGTCCGCTGGATGCCGGTGATGCGAATGAGAGGCTGCTCGAGGTCGTTGTCACCGGCGTCGTTGGTCCTCGCTTCGTCGACACGATGGCTGGCGACGGCTCGAGGCGCCGGAAGTGGTCCAGGAGCATCGGGTATGGGTTGGGCGGTAGCTGCGTGGACGCAAAGAGCGCAGCAAAGAAGCGCTGCACCTCATCTTGGACCTCTGTGGCCTAGCACACGAGGTAGGAGCAGCGAGGCCATGGCGGGCGTACTGCTATGTACGCTGCCACCGAGCTGGCGCTGGCCATCGTGAAAGATACCGTTTCGCACACTATTTACCGCGAGCCGTTCCATGGCATGGTTCCTCGCACGCACTTAATGCATGGCATGGTCACCGCGAAGGCAGGACATCGATGTATACACTGCGTCATAGATCTCTGTGTACGCACGACGAAAGACTCCATCGGGCTCGGCGGCTCCGAGCAAGGACGGCGTTGGAACAATGACACACTATTTCGCAATGGACGCGAGAGATTTCAGCGAATGGCATCGCGTTCTGCCACGTGACGCGTTTGGATTGGTTAAAAAGATATACCATGGCCATCATCGCTGTTCGGACAAGATCCTCACAACGCGAAGACGATGGCGACCGGCGACCTCGTGCTCAAGGTCGCGACTGCGGACCAACTGTACGAAGCTGATGTGCATACGTACAGCTCGTGGGGTGCGCCACACCTGAGCCTGGAGCAGTACCTCAAGCGCGAGGCCCGGCTCCGCGACACGACGTTCGCCAAGGAGACGCTCACGGGCTACGTGCTCGTGCCGGCGGCCGACCCGGACACGCGCGACATCCTCGCGTACGTCGAAGTCTTTCGCCGCCCGAGCGTTATTTACCCATCATCCGCCTCGCCCAAGGTCTACATCGATGGCTTTAGCATCGGGTCCGTCTACACGCCCGTGGCGCACCGCAAGAAGGGCTATGCGACGACGATGCTGGCACTGGTCGTGGAGCGGCTCCGCGCCGCATCGACGGGCTACGTGCTCTCAAACCTCTACTCGGACATTGGCCCAACGTACTATGCGACAAAGGGCTGGCGCGTGCATCGGTCGGACGAGGCAACGATCCCAGTGGCTGCGATATTGCCGCCAGCCGCCTCGCCAGCCTCGGCCGTCCTCTACTCGATCGACTCGCATTCCGCGCTATTGCACGCGGCCCAAGGGTCCCAGCGCCTCCTGGACGCGTCGCTTGCGCCCGGCCAGTGCGCCTTTGTCGTGACGGCGAGCTGCATCGAGTGGTTCGCGGCGCGCAGCCACTTTTATGCCAAAACGCTCAAGCAAATGGCGTCGCTCCCGACGTCGCTCGGCGGCTACAAGGTCGGCGCCAACAGCAAAGTCACGGACGCTGTGCTATGGACGCACAACTTTCGCGACGACCAGCTCGTCGTGCTGCACTGGAACGTCCAAGCCGAGAACGCGTCGGCCTTTCTCTCGCTTGCGGCCAAGGAAGCGACCGCGTGGCAGCTCAAGGAGATTGCCATTTGGAATGCTGATCTCCCGACAGAGCTCCGCCACTTGAATAACACGGCGCGCGAGGACTCGCTCTCGTCGCTTCTCGTGCAAACGCTTCCGGACGCGACCGAAGCGACGCTCGAATGGGTTAGCAACGAAAAGTATGCATGGGTCTAGTCGTATCATCCCGCGCACGGTCTACGGTAGTCTAGTAGCGAGCCACAACTCGTGAATTCACTGAACAATGCGCGGATATGTCTGTCTTGGCTAGCATAAGCTACGAGGGCTGCTCGGTAAGCAGCTCGATGCAACAATGTCCCGATCATGCCCCTTCCAAAGCCTCAACGGAGTGACTGCTTCACATCTGTGACCGGCGATGTGTTGTCGACATCTACGGTGTGCGTGTGCTCTACCGAGCGACCCTCTACTGTAGTGTGCGCATTCCTATACAAACACTCGTTGATGGACAACCTCGACCTCTTCACGAGGGCTATCTCGGGTTACTCTCGTATCGCCGCCGCTTCGATACCTTTACTCTGTCGAGATACCGACAGCAGTAGCGCGTTCAATGGCGGCAGCTTCTCGCTGCACCGCCAGTAGAGCGGATCCAAGTACTATGAGACTCTTCTGAGCGCCAGCCAACCGTCTGCAACGGTGGGCAGTCGTGGCCACCCGTCGCGCCTCCTCAAGATCGAATTTCTCGAAAATTCCATGGCATACAACCACCAAGAGATCGCGATCTATTTCAGCAGCCAATCAATGGGCGCGAAACCGATGGCGTCAAAGTGTCGATTTGGTTTTGGACTAAAAAGTATGCTTACTACTTGGTGTTTGTATGTATATGTAATCGAGCTTTTGACGGGTGAAATGAATGGTGGGATGCCACCCCGCAAATTTGCGAGTTTGCCCTTGGAGCTCAGAACACGATTTAGAATTGCGAAGTCAAGCCGCCTGCCAATGGCAAGCGAACGCTTGGGGAAATTCCCCGGACCGTAGGGCAGCAAGTGCCGGCCATAACGGCAGACCGCTTCTTTTGGACGCTGCGGAGATGGCACTTCGGTGCCGGAGCACGTGCTGATGAAGGAAGTCTGATCGTCATACCACAGTTATGCAATTGGCCCCTGGCAACGTCGACGTCGTGCGGCAGCCAGTGGGTTAACCCAACGGGGATCACTCATGTCGTGTTCTCCACGACACCCTTGACGTAAGAAGCTTATCGGTGTTTCTCAACACAGATCGCACCATGGTACGTACTGCACTCTCTCGATTTTGTATTCTGTATTCTGCATGTGTGCGCTATGATGATACATTTTCCCTTAAACATTCGCAGTGTTCTGCTGACAGCACCGGGTTGCCACCCGTTCTGCTGAGAGAGGCTCTCATTTCCTTGGATG